AAACAAGATGAATGTTTTGAGAATAGAAAAACATTTGCAACATATCAACAAACATTAAAAAAGGAAGTCAAAAAATATTTTCACTGACAAACCAAACACCGAAAAATTATGAAAAAAGGAATTTGGAAAATATTTTCACTAAATAACCAAACACCGGAAAATTATGGAGAAGGAAGTGATTTTTCAGGAAAATGACTTCGATTGAAAATATTTTCACTAGGGAAAATATTTTCTGTCGAACCAAACAGACCCTTACTTTCGTTAATTTTCCTTTCTCACATTGAGGACAATGTGGAATTTAAGTGTGGGGAAGGGGAATAATTGGCTTGCTATTTTATGCCATTCAATGATATTTTGTGGATTTAAACGTATTAGAAATGTTGGAATTGTGCTTGGAAATATTGCCATGTTGAACTTTTTCTTGAAAAATTGGTTTGTTGGCAGGGAGTTTCGTCCAGTTATAATGGGAAACTCTGTCAAATTTTTATCAAAATCTTTTCCAATATTTCACTATGGCCCAAAATAATTCTTCAAATTTTTGCAAGTTTATTTAAAAAGGGCCAATTTGTTCCAACTTGAAGTGTTCGAATTCTTCCACTTGTTGAAAAGGGCCAATTAATGCACCACTTCAATTAATGCACCGGTCGGACCGGTTCAATCCTGGTTCAATGAATTTTTTTAAAAATAATTTATATAAATATATATGCACAAAATAATTGGACTAATTTAAGGCTTTACATGATGAAAATTTTAATATTTTCAAAGAAGTTGGATTTTCACAAATAAATTTTTAAAATTATAAGTTGAAATAAATAAATTTCATCTTAATCTTAATTGAATTTACCAAAAGTAATATTAAATCGAACTAAAAAATACCACAATATTTTGAAATTACACAAAATTCACGTCTATGAGAATTAGACATTGTGAGTTTAAATTTTAATTCAAGTTTTTGATATTTAGATATTGCAACTTAAAAAAAAAAAGAAGTTTTAAGTTTGGAGAAAGTCAAGAAAACAGAAAATAAAAATACAAACTTGATAAGAGACAAAAAATGAGAAGAAAGTGAGTGAATGTAGCATTTAATAATTAGATTTTAGGGTTAAGGAAAACATATTCTTTTTTAAAAAAATTTCAATTTAATAGACAAAAACAAAAAAAATTGCCGATTCAACAGTTCAATCCAGTTCGCACGGTTCAATCCGATTTTTAAGTATAATCAACCCAAAGCATGAACCGGACCGAAGCCAAGACCGGTTCGCGGTCCAACCGGTCAAACCAGCCAGTCCGATCCGCTCTTGAAAACAATGCTTATAATTAATTTAATACGTGTGAAAATTTGACAAGGACCAATGTGGAACACGTTTTCACACATCGTTGTCTAGATCAGTATGGAAATATCCTCAAAGATCACCAAATTAGCGAGGCCTATAAATTAAATATCCATTTCCTGAACCTTCAATCCTCATTTTTCAACAAAACGTATAGTTCTGCCAACACTCCAAAGTAGGCATGGCCATGGTTCCACTTGGAACCGGGAATCGGACCGAAATCGGACCGTTTGGAACCGGACCAGAATCGGAACCAAAACCGTGGAACCATAACCGTGGTAGAACCTTGGATAAACGTTCTGGTTCTGGTTCTCTAAAAAATAGAACCAGAACCAAAACCGCCAGTTCCAGAACTGTTAAAAAAAATTAATATAAATAAATGGTTCACTTAATACTAATACGGAACTTGAATCATATCTAACTACCAAGTTTGAGCATGATAATAGTAGCTTAACAAAACAGTTTAAAGTCCTTGACTGGTGGAAGCGAAAATCAGAGAATTATCCTATCCTCTCCCTTATTGCTAAGCAAATATTAGCAACTCCAGCATCAACAGTAGCAGTGGAACAAGCTTTTAGTGCCGGTGCAAGCATTTTGGATGAGACAAGATCGAGATTAAGCCCAGAATCACTAGAAATTCAAGCATACGTGGATGATTGGACTAGAGCAAAATATAGACAAGAAGAAATGGAAAAAGATGAAGAAGAAGATTTCAATTATACAACTGATTCTAGTGCCGTCGCAAGCAATGAAGATGATTAAATAATTAATGTTTGTTTTGATATTTCATCTCAATTTCAATGAAAAAATCAAGTATTTTCTTTTCCATTTAAAATGATTACCATTTGATAGTGTTATGTATTTTTTAATTTGACAATGTAACGTATTTTTCATAAAATTTGTATTATCCATTTATTACTTCGTACTTTGTTGAATAATAATAAAATTAAAATATGATCTTTATTTTGTATTTATTTTTTACATTCTATTTAAAATTTTAAATATATTGTTATATTCGTATTAAAATTGGTAAGGATAAAAAATTAAATAAAATTGTATACAACTATACAGAATCAGAACCAGAACCACAAGGAATCGAAATCAAAACTATAAGGAACCAGAACCAGAACCAAAATCGGAACCGGAACCAGAACCAGATAGTGCGGTTCTGGTTCTATCTCTTTGAAGAACCACAACCGGCGATTCTAGAACCAGAACCAGAACCATCTTTCTACCTCTTTGAAGAACCAGAAGAACCAGAATCGGCGGTTGTGGAACCAGAACCAGAACCATCTTAGATGGTGCGGTTCTGGTTCTACCTCTTTAAAAAACCAGAACCGGCGGTTCTGGAACCGTGGCCATGCTTACTCCAAAGGTACATCTATTCAAATTGGTATACAGCTATAACACTAGTCATTACCTTAAATGCATTAAATTTATTTTATAATTACAATAGCACTTTCAATCATTTTACATTCCACCATTAATAGAAATAATAAAGGAAAAACTCACTAAAACTAATAAAAAATTCATAGAATGACGTAAAGGGGAACAATAAATTATTTAGGAAGATAAAAACTTTAACCCAAATGGCATAAAAGAGAACAACATTCAAGTCATTCAAATTCAACCAAAAGACGAAAATATTGATATTATTACAAAACAAAAGTGCTCTTGGGATAAAGGATACTTTGCTTCTTGCGCATTTGTGTTGGTTAGGATAAATCAAGTTTCAAAAAATATAAAAAATATAAACGTTTAATATCACATTAATTTTATCTCAATTTCATTGATTTTTTTTAAATTTTTGAGAAGAAAAGGAAAATCGAAACGCATCATATTCACGTGGAAAACACCTTCTCTGTTATTAGTGTGCATATGTGTGTGTGTGTCTATGTGTTATGTATATATATATATCTGTGTGTGTGGGTGTGTGTGTGTGTACGTACATATAAATATGTGTGTATCTTACCATATGTCAAGTGCCTAAGCATTTAGCTACAGTGAAATCAAGAGAGAGTTTTGGACTAAAAGGAAAACTAAACATAGTTCTAAAACTGAAGGGGGAGGAAAGTCTATTTTTTTTTCCTTAATATTAACCGTAAGATGTTATTTTCTTCTTGATTGCTTGAATGATTTTGTGTTGAATTTCATGATCTCTAATTCATTGAATTTCAAACAAAAAATGGGGATAAGTATGTAGATCTATTAATTTTGTTGTCACATTTTAAAGAGAGCATATCGTTCTTTGCTCATACCTATGCATTCTAAACCTATTTAGCACATGGTAAGATGCACATTGTTTAGAGATGACCAAAAGAATGGTTGTAGAAAGCAGAAAATCTCATATTTGAACTCTAGTTTTTGAGTTATATGTTTTTCTCTCAATATATCAGTTAATCTTTCATTTCCTTTTAAGGTTTGGATTCATTTTAAGTAATATTTAACTAGTAAGCTTTTATAACAAGTCATGAATATAGTATCTAGTTGACATATAAAACTTAGTGATTGGAACCTGCTTGCAAGTAACAGAGAAACAAAATACATTGATATAAATTCAAACACAGACGGCTGTTTTTATTTATTTAATGGTGCATTTTTGTTCGTATAAGTGCACCTTCACTACAACAAAAATGGTCTTTTCTGACATGTCTATAAGGACACTTACTGGTTTGTGTCATTATAGCACTTCTATCATTACACTTGTTATCAACTCAATAATATATACTCTAATTTTTTTTATTTTATTTGATATAAAAACAATAATGTACCTTTAGACTCCCTATTATGACACTTGAAAAAATGTGAGATACAAAAAAAAAAAAATTAAAACACAAAACGACGTACTTTGATTTTGGCGGAAGATTCTTTGCCAAAACACCTGTGAAATCTCAAAACTTCATTTTGCTTGCCAGTGAAATTTTGCTTCTTCTTATCTCTCTCACAAACTCTCTCTCTGCAAACTATCTCTCAAAACTCTTGGCCAAAATTTTGCTTTCCCCAAGAGTTTTGCTATTGAATCTCTCCACAATCAAACTACCCTTGCTTTCTTATCGAAGGTATGTAATTGCATGATAAATTTTTGCCCTAAAATTGATTTCTCTCGGTTGTCTACTTGAATCTGATATAACGTTTTTTGCTGAATCTAATATCATATTTTTTTGCTAGATTTCCCTGTTCAACTTTATGGATTTGTAAGGGTTTTTTGGCTGCCAATCTTTTGCACTTCTCTAGAAAAGAAGAGGAGGCAAAATTACTGTGAGCGATTGTCCAAGATAAAGACGATTCTGTCATCGGAGACTATGGTTATTCCCAGCAGTGTTAAGATTAAGGTGAAAGCCAAGCAACTCTAGGTGGAAGGACCCCGCGGGAAGCTTACTCGCAACTTCAAGCATCTCAACCACGAATTCCAGCTCATCACCGATGAGGCCACCGGAAAGAGGAAGCTCAAGGTTGACGCTTGGTTCGGCTCCCGCAAGACTACCGCCGCCATTCGCACTACCCTCAGCCACATTAAGAACCTCATCACTGGCGTTACCAAGGGTTACCGCTACAAGATGAGATTCGTCTACGCTCACTTCCCAATCAACGCCTCCATCACCAACTCCAATCGTTCTATTGAGATCCGAAACTTCCTTGGTGAGAAGAAGGTATCTGCTCGCATGATGAAACATTTGGGCCTTTTCTTTTCTCTTTAGATTTGTCATTTTTCTGATTTCTTTTACATTTTCATGCATCCGAATTGTTGATTTGATTTAGTAATACTGTGAGAGAACTTGGCTTGTGCGGAAGAATTCTTCCTCTTCCCCCTCCCTTTTGAGTGTGTATTTGAGTAGAGTTTTTGGGCTGGACTACCAGTGCTTTGTGTTTGTTCATTTCTGGGTTTATCGTCAGATGCTTGTGAGCCTCCAATTTGAAACCAAAAATGCCATGTGAAGAACAAAGATATCCGGAAGTTCCTTGATGGTATCTATGTCAGTGAGAAGGGGCGAATAGCCGAGGAGGACTGAGGAGAGTTAGTGGCCTACATTTCTTAATCGTTTTCTTGGATTGTTTCCCTTTTATCATATCAAGCTGCTTGTGGGGATTTCTTAGAGATGACTTCTATTTTGAACTTAAAAAATTTTACCCTACAAGCTCAAAAAATTGACTTTGAGTTGGAGCTATCTTCCATGGGGGGATATGGCCATTTTTGCCAATTTAGGCCACCTTACAGTACTCAAACTGAAAAACTTTGCTTTTCAAGGACCTAGATGGGACCTAAATGAAGGGGTATTTGGTTGTCTAAAGTCGTTGCTAATAGAAAGTACAGATCTAGTACACTAGGAGGCCACAAGCACTGATAATTTTCCATGCCTTGAACACCTGCTTCTGAGGTCTTGCAAATCCTTAGAGGAGATCCCTTATGGTATTGGGGAACTTCCTACCCTTTCACTACTTGAGGAGCACTACTGTAGCAAATCTGCAGAGGATTCTGCTAAAGAATTTGGAGAGGAAATTGAAGGTCTGAAGGTTGTCACGAGAAGTGATATTTAGGTGAAAATATCATCAAAGATTCTTGATTTCTAATTTCTATGTGCACCAATGAGTCGGAAGTTAGAAATAAGTCTTGTTACTGATTTTCTACTGTCAGTGGTATACTATTCTCTGTACTTTAGAATTTTATCAATCTTTCCCCTTACACTTTTTCTTTAGCATTACATGCTATGTTGTAATTTTTGGTTGTATGACAGGCTCCTGGACTCTGCACAGTGAAAGCTTGCAATTCCTTTTGCATTGTGGATATTGTCCTTGCATTTTGTGATGATGGTAATCTCATGCAATGTGCATGGTGTCATTAATTCCATTCTAGAGTGTACTACTACTTTTGGTCCTGTTTGAGCACTGAAGGTGTTTAATTTCTTGACAAAAGGAAGCAGACCAACTGTATACGAGGACTAAATTTCTGGATATGACTTTCAGTTTATATAATAGATTATTATTTCAACTTACACGTAGGTCGAACTTTCTACTAATTTTTTCTTAACTGTATATGTGAAGCAGAAATTGAAGACGCGTGTGGTGAGGAAAAATGTAAATCCTGAGTGGAATGAAGACCTTACACTGTCAATTGCAGATCCAAGCATCCCAATCAAGCTAGTAAGTATCATACTTTTTTTTAAGTATATTATAGTGGTGCTTTTTGAATAAGGTGCAGTTATGAACTGTAAAGTTTTTTGCCTTTTTGGAAATTGAGAAACATTAGGTTCGTTCTCAATACAAAATGAATTGTAAGATGAGAGTTGTTGCACCACTGATGCTCAAGTAGGAACAAAGTCTTCTGTTTGAAAATAACTTATGTTGGATTAGTGTTTGCGGTCCTTGAAAAGTTTAGTTTCTTGTTGCGAAGGCTGAAAAATAAAATCTACATTATGTTCTGCAAAGGATTAAGGCATATTGATCATTGATTGATTCTATCCCCGGATGCATAGCTCCAGTTAGATAATTGGGTTCCTGTCATCTGGGTGGTCAAGGTCCAAATTTATGCTGATGCATTATTTACTTAATTTTCTTACCATGTTAAAGCTAATTCAGTCAGCATAGATACTTAGCCTCGCTCTTAATGGTGTGCGATGCAGCAAGTTTTTGACAAGGATACATTCATTCTTGATGACAAAATGGGAGATGACAAAAGGATTAGGCATTCATTTTCTATCTATCTAAATTTGCTTCATACTTGTGTACAGAATTTTGCTTCTTGGCTTTTACTTCATTAGATGTTTACTTTCATTTCCAATAAAACTGTCTGATAATTAAACAAAAAAAAGGGAAGTGGAGCTCAGGACATTAGATTATTCTCATCAAGTGGAATCTAGGAATGTTTGTAACAAATAATTATTTGGCTTTCTAGCTATAACTTTAGAGTTGCTTGCAACTTTAGCATGACTTTGATTCTTGTACTTGTTGGATCTTTGATTCCTATTTTTGAAGCTTCGTTTCTGCTTGTTGCTCAAACTAAAATATTTATGGTTAGGTCTATTTCTTATACCAAAGTACTTTGTGCACAGGTGGTACCAACTAAAGATTGATGGTGTCTTTGTGGTTATGACTGAAGGCTCTCATTTGGTTGGAAAGTTTGGAAGCTACTACAAGTTCTTTCAACTTTTTACATTAGAAGAGTCTTTTATTTTTATTTTAGCTAGTGGCATTGTTTAACATTGCTATTCTACTTTAAACAACTTTTTCGATTAGCTATGTTAGTACTTGTTGCTGACTTTTAGTTCAACAAATGATATTTGAGCTTTGACTTTTGCTTTTAAATTATTACATGCATTCTGTTCTTTGGAATAATTTTACAAGTCCTTTGGGTATCTGATTGACGGAATGTATAGCAGGAAGCACAACCAGGTTGCTTCTTTATTTTTTTTAAAAAAACTCGTGGCAGTTAAAAGTGTCAGCATAGCTCAGCAATTTCGACAATATCCTGACACTTTCGATTGTCAAGAAAAGGGAATTTTGTTGGTAGATGGGATGTATAATAGCATAATTTTCCTGACACATTTGAATGTTTCAAGCCTATCCCCACATTGGAAGGGACAACACTCATCCGAGGTGTGAGGAAAGGTAAAATGTCAGTTTAGATAATCCATACTGACACCTTTAAATGCCATTAAAGGTCATTTTTGTTGTAGTGCTTTGACATACTAGTACAATGACACAAACTCAAACACCGACGGATTTTTTTTATTTAACGGTGCATTTTTGTTGGTAGAACTGCACCTTACATACTAGTACAATAGCAGGGAGATGTATTCATGCCAGCAGTACATCATCCATGCAGAAACTGAAAACCACACCAAAGACACTATATAATTAGAGTACTTAATGTCGTTGATCCTCAGTTGATCAACAGCAGTGCTTGCTTATTTCTTGTGCCAGATGAGTTTCGTTTCACTTGGGGTCTCAAGAACAAGTGCTTTGTGGAGATATGTGGCACCGTCGCTATCCTGATTTTCAATGATAAGTGCGTAGTAATAACCTCCATCACCGCTCCAGGTGAATACGCCAACCACGGCGACGAAAAGTAGCTGGCCGTGGTGACATTGTTCCACTACATGTTGTCCGATCTGGATCACGTGAGGGTCAGCTGGCTTCACTGGTTCTAGTGAACTGATGTCGTTCTGTGAAACCCAAACAATTGAGTTCCCAAAATCAATCAGAATCCTTTCAAATAAACAAACTGCTTATAAGAAAACTAAATCCGACCAATTAATAACAAACTGTATCACTCAGAAGAAGCTTAATAGACAATTCATGAGACCAATTAATGTGTGTAGACAACTAGAAAACATAAAATATTGCTTAAGAAAATTCAAGAATGTTATTGTTACTGTAATTTGCAACTCCTTATACTCTTCCAAACGTTATTTACCTTTCCTGTGCCAATAGCAGATTTGGCTGCAGCCATTTTTTCCTTAAAGAGCTAGCTTGCTAATTAATAAGGATGAAAATAGATATTTGTAACTGGTTACTGTCGAAAACTTGGTACAGCTAGGCCTATATTTTTCTGTTATTGTTTTATCATCATTCAAACCTTTGACTTCATACCACTAGGCCGGGTTGGTCCAGTGACTAAGATCTCCTCTCACTGTCAACTTCAGAATTGAGTTGATTTAGTTATTTTAGCAAGTTGACACATGAACCGATGCCATCTCCAAGCATATTAAAGGCTCTTTCTCTTTTTTTGAAGGCTAGTACAGGAGCAGGTGACATTGCATGTTGTATATATCACTTTAGTAGCAACTACTCACTAAATTCTTTTTTCTTAGATTAATAAAATTAAAAAGTTGATTATTTGAAGTGTTGTATTACTATCAAACTTCTCCCCAAGAAGACAAAAGACACTATCATACTATGTGAGCCCTGTTAAGTGTCATTTTTAGTGAAAAATTCAGAAAAACAATAGCCAAATAATTTAGAATAGAGAAACATAACTAACATCACGAGTATGCTTAGTAAGTACCAAGCATTTATAAAGAAAGACAGCTTCTTAGTTTAACTATTTCAAGTGTTTTATTACTATCAAAATTCTCCCTCACGAAGACATATAAAACACTATTATAGAATATTTAGTCCAGTTGATTGTCAATTTTAGTGAAAGATTGAGAAAAGCAATAGCCAAAGCCAAATAATTTAGATTAGAGAAACATGACTAACATCACAAGTATGCTTAGTAGGTAGCTATAAAGAAAGACAATTACTTAGTTTGGGAATAAATGGTTCGCACATTGATGTGTTACTTTCAATGATGATGAATTAAATATGATTTCTTGTACATATTCTCGTTGAAATTAAGTTGGAATATGGTAGAGATGAATGTGACTTACCAAAGAAAAATCCAAACTTTATTTAAGAGGTCGTATAGAAATTTCTATTTGGCATATTTATGAGCTTGGCCATACCTAGTATTAGAAAAAGAAGAATGAGTACTTAAACAGTTAAACCTAGAGAAATTATATCCATCAACTTTGAAATTTCTAATGAGAAATTTAATGTGCCAATGACTTCAATCTTCCAATTGGAAATTCACAGTTTCTCCTGTGGTCCACCCAATATTTGCTTTCACGTACATCTATGCTTCTGAATTAAGCGCAGACTTGGGGTATGAATTAAATTAATTTATGGTTAACTTCCAAGTCAAGGATAGTTGTATGGTGACCAAGCCACAAATTGATCTTAAGACAATTCAGAGTTCTTTATTAAAACATAAAACTTACAGAGGCCCTCCATAATTATAAACTTGAAGCAACGTGCAGAGACCTATTTTGGTTTAACAAAGTTGAACCATGAGTGAAACAACAAACCCAATGAGCTGAACAATCATGAACAATTTGCTCCATGGCACTAATCAAACTCCTTTCCTCTTTGGCCCTTTCATCTTGTCCTAGCTTGATGATGGAAGCTTTCCTTCCAAGAATGATGAGAACATAGCGAGTGAGCGGGCAGGATTTTCGGACTCGGAAAAATAGTAAAAGAGAGCTCGACCAACCGTAGGATCAACAGTGACATACCCTGAATATTGATCAAACTTTACTCCTTTTGGTTCCCCTGGCAATGCGATGATTTTGTTGGCTGCTTTAAACCCCTCTTGAGGACCAATATAAACTGGCGAATACTGATGAGCTGAATCCTCATCAGTTATGTAATTGTTTGATCTGTTTAAGCTCTCAGGGAGGAGGAATTTTCGAAGGGTCTCGTATTTTCTCCCTCGTAACATTTTATAAATGAAACTTGGCTTATGAGGGTAAGAAATATGACTAATGCGCCTTTCATCATTGACACGTTGAACTAGAAAGTGATTGTTTTATGAATCAATCCATTAGCATTCTATTTATAGTTTGGGAAACCAATGTTTAATCTATAGAACTATGTATTTGTTGGTTTCTTCCTTATAAATTTACTTTGGCATTAATAAATGGCATATTCTGAGACGGGATAAAATTCTGTCTTCCCGGTGTATTGTGACTTGATTTGGCTTTTGCGTAAACAAGCAGTAACAACATTAATTTTTCTCAAGCCAAAATTAAAGGATTTTGACATCTTACCAGAGACATAAAAGAATGCCATCGTGCATTGTTTTTAAATCGAGCCAGATTGACCGGTTTGACTGGTTAAACCATGAACAAGAGGTAATTTCTTGATTACCTCTATCCATGGAGTTTTGGATGTAATAACCATCTATTGTCGATCTTCCATTTCTCACACATTGTTCGCTCATGTTTCCTACTCTTCTTGAATCCCTAAACATGCTTTAAAAGTAACTTAAAAACAAGTTCAGTAAAAAAGAATAGATGACTTGACACATATAAAAATAAAATACTAAACACAAAATAAAAGACTCAACAAGACACTAAACATAACAAAAGGACACTAAACACAACAAAAACAAGAAAAGCAAGAAAAAATGTCTAAATTAATAAGGTTGTTTTTAGCACCGATATTGACCAAATCTTCCCCAATAACGGCGCTAAAAACTTGACGAGCACAGGATATACATATAACAATTAGCTTATCCACAGTCAAATTTTATATTTATAACATTCTAAATACCTTACATGCGATTTTTCGCTAGTATGTGAGTTGAGAGAGAGTATAGGGTATTAAAGGTCAAACCCACAGGGAAGAGTTTCAATTACCGGTGGTTTTCGAACTTTTTTATTATTTAGACTATCACTAGTGCAAGAAATTAAATCTACACTATAAAAGTAACAAAAATACAATAGAAAACTCCTAGAGATATGGAATTCCTTACTATTCTTGCAAGTGAAGTTACCGGTTAAGTGAATGCTATTATCTTGACTAGTTATGGCGTAATTTCCTCATGTATGTGAAACCTACTCTCGTAGTAAATCAACTATACTTGTAACTAAGCCATAATTACTCTCATGGTTATGAATTAACTACAAGTTCATTTCTTTTATGAAATTCTATGAAACAAGTCACTAAAGCTGCAAAGGTGCACCTCTACTCCCGTGAGTGAACTTCCTAGGTTTATTACTTCCTTGAACTAGTGCTAAATTTCAATTTTCATTGCAAACTTAATACCTTAACATTATCACAATTAATCAACAGTTAATCATGATTAGAAAATAAAAAATTATAAATAACTTACTCAAAATAATATCATCAAATAACCAAGTAAATATTACTAACAAGATGTAGAAAGTTCATCCACAACTCTAGGCATAAACTTTAGACGCACATATTGAAACATAAATCCAAAACTTGCATATTAACCATACTTAAGAATTCGATACAACAGATAAAGAGTTGGAGAAGAGATAACCCTCACCACATGAGTTTCAACCCCTACTTCTTCATCTCCATTTTCATCCTAATCTAATTAATATACAAGAGTGGATAACACACATAACTACCTAAACTATGCTATACTATACTAACCTAGCCAATGAACTAAGGAAATTCTAGTGAAGACTACATTTTTGTGGAGTTTTTCTAGCCTTCCAAAATTTTTAAAATGGTCTCCAAAGGCTACTATTTATAGAGAATTTAAGCTCAAGTTGAGTTCTTTCTTCATTAGCAAAATTGGCTTTTGAACTCACCAAGAGTTGTTCTCCAAGTTTCTACACTCTTCTTGGTCAGATATAGTCAAAATTCCTTGCTGGAATTGAGTTGGAAAGTTGTGTGAATAAGGAACAAGTTGCAGCTGAAAATGATGAATACCCGACCTTAGGTCGAGTATTGTATCCCACGCATTGCTTTTTGTAGGTTTGCTCAATTCTGGAT